AAACAAAACCAGTCATATAATTTATGTCACCTCGTGTGTAAGGCTCACTTTAGTAAATTTACAAACATGCGCAACACCTGGGTGTATTTTTGAATTTCACCCAACCAGTGGCATTATCAGTTCAGTCTAGAGCTTATTAACTGTGGATAGTAGATGAGGTAATATCCCTCAGCCTTGTTGAAATTGTGGACAGATGAGGTAATCAGTCTCCTGCTTTAAAGGTGTTCACTACCTTCATCTTAAATCTGTTTAAAGTGATAAAACGACTGTGGCGAAAAGATAGGTATCTAGATGTTGCACATGTATTATTCAACAATGTTGGTATTGCATACCATTAATATTAAAGAGCTTGCTGTACCAGTTTCTAAAAAGAAATAATTACGCTGCGAGGCAACGAGTTATGTAGGAAAGCTGTGGCAACCCGTGGAGAGCAATAATGGATATTAACCTTGGTAATAATAAGACACGTGAAACACTTGTGTAGCTTTATTGTTGAAACTTTAATGAATGTGTTTTATTGCACAGGTGTTGTGGGAATTTATTGAGTTCAAGAAATCCCACAAAGCCATTGTAACAAGCAGTAGAGGCTTTTAGAATCCACGCTGACAAACAGCGGAAATCACGAGTCAGCACATAAGTGATATATTTACACAGATTTGATAGATTACAGGTTTTAGGTAGAATTAGAGTTAATAATAAATTAAAAAAGTAGGGAAAATTAGATACGTAGACACCTAGCGGTCCTCCGGTAAACTAGGGAGGGGGGGGGATAGGATGCTGGTAGCCATCTTTTTGACAAGGAATTGAGAGCACTTTCAAGTTTCTGTCTCTCTGAGTCCCCCACAGTTTCCCAACGCTACCTGGTAGTTAACAACGTGCTTCAAAGGCCTTACAACGAATCGTGTTAACTAGTCTTTGCACCAGAGCCCTTGGTAATACTGTATTTTAACCCCCTAGTCACAGTGGCCACTAAATATGGGGTAAGGGAATCAGGGATAGTTATCTTGCGATTAATAAGCGTGTCCATGACCAACGATCAAGTAATTTGTAATTTATATTTACTACAGTTTATAGTTTTTACTCCCGAAAGTGTTGTACAAGCCACCATTCGTCTCTCGACCACTGGGAAGAGAGGACGCTTCTTGAGTCTCCCTACACGCCACCTGGTGGTGACTGCTTGACTTAGGCACCAACATGGCGGATTGTATCAGCCGGAGAGTGAATACTGTCTGTATTGAATTAGTTCGAGGAACGTTAAACAGTGCGACAATGCATGTACTGTTATCGGCCATAATTAGGGACGTCTACGGGATACCGAACGATGAATTGTACGGTGTCGCCCTTAATGGAATGACAAGGGTTTTTGTGAAGTTTACAAGAGCTGGCTTTTACACCAGGATTGTGGATGAATTTCAGGAAAGGAGGATGAGTGTGAACTCAACAGTAGAGGTGTGTCTACATGATGTTTCAAAATATTACACGTGGGTAAAGGTACGTAATGTACCCTTCGAGGCAACGTCCTATGCATCAGTGAAGCCTTCAGCAAATTATGGAACTGTTCATACGGCTAGTATGGGGTGTGGAGGACGGGCCATTGAAGGGCTGCCCGAGGGTCCTGCACCTGAAGATGTCATTGAGGCAGCAGTACCCTCGTATGTTACGCTGACAGGCTATAGGACACAGGTATTTGTCCACTATGAGGGCAGAGGAAAACTTGCCGATTATGTGATTCTTACGAGCATATGGCGGCGCAGTGTCCTCGAAGGTAAGCCCTAGGATGGCATAATCATGGATGGTGGAACAGCAACCGTGCAAACGTGGATGTGGAGTTGTGGGGGTTGCGGATGGACAGAGACGAATCTCTGGAGTGAGGAGGTGGACAAGTAGAAGAGTGATGGGACGTGTGTTACCCTCCCGGAGGTGACAGGGGAGAGGCCCATCGCCTGAGGAAAGGGTGGACGTGGAGAGTCTACCCAGGAGAGGATGTTGGAAGCAGTGCTGCAGGAGTTCTTGGGGACGAGCCGGAGGCCGGGAGGATGGACCCGAGAAGGTTAAGTGAGGTGCAGCTGATGGATGAGCAGCAGGGACAGGTGGAGGGTTCGAGGACTGACAGAGAGGACAGGGAAGTGGTGGTGGAAGTCCATCAGGAGGACTCGCAGGAGGTAGATATGTGTGTGGAGTGAGAGCTCACGCAAACGGACTGCGGTGCCTTGGACTCGATGAGGTTTAACACCTGGGCAGAGACCTGGGAAGAAGTCATGGGTAGCTGTGGGGGAGAAGGCAAGCAGGGGAGGGGGTGTACTGGGGAAGCTCAGTGGGGGAGGGCAAGGAGGGGTTGGTGGACAGGTTAGGAAAAATTATAAAAATGGTACAGGTACTATGAAAGGTGAATTGAGTAAGACACAGCGGCATAGGGGTAAGCCGCCTTTTCTGGGAAGTTCAAGTGTGTCACAATAAATGTAAATGGTCTTAAATCTGAGGTAAAAAGGGTTTGGTTAGAATGGTTTTTACAAAGGTTTGATGTAGATGTATGTTTTTTGCAGGAGCATAACCATAGGTTAGGGTGTGAATTGCATTTGCGGGGTTATAACTATTTGTCAGTAATGCTTTGCAATTAAAAGGAGGGGTGGCAGTAGCTGTAAAGGAGACCAGCCCATTGCGTGTCATGGGTTGGGAGGAGGGAGGAGGGTCGTAAGGGTAGATGGGCACTGGGGGGTGGGGAAAGTATGTTTCATTGGTGTTTATATGCCGGCATGCAACAATGTTAGAGTGAAAGTTGATTTTGTTAGTGATGTTTTGATGTATTATTTGCGGGGTTTACCTTCCATAACTGTACTTGGGGGTGATTGGAACTGTGTGATTAGGATTGGGGATGTCTTACCGAGGGGGGCGGGATGTGTCTTGGGTGCTCTAAGGGATGTAGGAGTTGTAGATGTGGTGGGGAGGGGGAAGTATGGGGTGGAGCACACGTTCATTCGTGGGAATTATGAGGCGAGGTTAGATAGGATATATGTGATGCAGGGGATTGGTGTGGAGAGAGTGAGGGCTTTCGATGTCGGTTTTTCGGATCACTGGGCGGTGATAGCTGATCTGCGGGTGGATGGTACAGTACGCATATATGCTGGGTATTGGAAATTGAATGTGAGGCTTCTGCAGGATGGGGATGAAGGCTCTTCCTTTGAGGAATGGTGGAGACATTTCTGGGATGGTAGGGATGGTGAGATGGATTTGCTTGACTGGTGGGAGATGTGGGCTAAGACAGGAATCGCAGAGTTTTTCAGGATACGTGGAAGGGAACAGGCACGGTGGCGGTATGATTTACAAAACTACCTGGAGGGACAGCTGAATGCTGTTTATGATGGGGGGGGGGTAGGGAAGGTATGCGAGGGGATGTGGATGGTTTAAGGAGTAGGATTGAAGAGTTACATAATGAAAGGTTTAACGCGATTAGAGTTAGGGCAGGGTTAGAGGAGGTGTTAAAGGGTGATCGACCATCAGGTTATGTCCTGAGAAAATTTAGGGAAAGGCAGATGGTGACTACCATAGCACATCTAGTGGTCGCTGATGGGGGGGGGTTATGTGGTGGGTCAAGGCCTTACCGATACGGATGACATTAGCGTTTATGCTGATTATTGGTTTAGGAGAAATGGAGGAGGAACACGGAAGTTGCCAGTGAGGAGGTATTTGGGGTTATGCAGAATACTATTGTATTGGGACAACAGGAACAGGAAATGCTGGAGGGTAGTATTAGTGAGAAGGAGGTGGGGGAGGCGGTTTACGGGATGAGTCAGGGTAAGACGCCGGGCATTGATGGAATACCGAATGATTTTTATAGAGTTTATTGGGAATGCATTAGGTATGGTTTAGTGGAGGTCTTGAATTATATGTGGAGCAGTGGGAGGATGGGGAAGACACAGAAAACCGGGATCGTTGTGTTGGTGCCGAAGAAGGAAGGGAAAGTACTGAGTAATTATAGAGCGATATCCTTAATGTGTGGAGATTATAAAATTTATGCTAAAATTCTGGGCAATAGACTGAAGAAGGTTCTAGGATCAGTGATACATGGGGGACAGTTTGGCATCCCGGGAAGAAGTATGAGGGACGGGCATAGTCACATAAGGGATTTTATTGAGAGCTGCACCGAAGGGGGAATACTCGGTTTAGATTGGGCTAATGCGTATGATTGTGTGAATAGGGATTTCTTAAAAGTTTGTTTGGAAAAGTTGGGTTGGGGGGAGGGTGGTGAGATGGGTGCAAACCTTGTATGAGGGAGCTGTTATTAGGGTACAGGTTAATGGTAAGTTGGGGGACCCAGTACTGATGGAGAGAGGTTTGAGGCAGGGTTGTCCACTCTCTCAGTTATTGTTTGCCTGCGTACAGAATCCATTTTATGGGCTCGTGGATGAGGTGATGAATGGACAGGGGATAATGGGGGGTGAGCGGGGGGGTATTGTTGGGTATGTAGATGATACTACAGTGCTGGTAATGCATGAGGAAGATCTAAGGAAAGTTGGTGGAGTCATTCAGATATTTGGGGATGCTACGGGTATGAGAGTTAATTTAATGAAGTCGAGACTATTAGAGGTGGGGGATTGGATAGGCGGGAGCTTGGGGGAGGGGTTGGGATGGTCAGTAGTGGACAGAATTAGGGTTTGTGGAGTATGGTACATGGTGGAAGTCCAGGATAGTAGGAAGATAAATTCGGAATTAGTTACGAGCAGGGTTTTGGGAAGGCTTGGAGGCTTAAGGGCTAGGGATGTAACATTACAGCAGAGAGTTTTAGTGGTCAACTCTCCGGTTTACAGTAAGGTGTGGGGAGTGGCTGAGCTGTTCCCTTTAAGAGCACAGGATATTGCGGAAATCCAGAGGAAGGTTCTAAGGTATGTGTGGGGGTTTGGGAGGGCATGGTTGCGCAAGGACGTGGTGATGACGGATGTGAGACGTGGGGGTCTTGGCCTGATGGTATTGGGTCATAGAGTAATGGCTTTATATATTAAACAAAGATATATCCGGACTGGGGGGAACCGGGGAGTCAGGGTAGGTAGGGTAATGGAGGATGCACAAAGATGGTGGTGTGGAAGGGATTTGAGGTATTGTGAAGACATGTTGAGGGTTTTATTGAATAGAACAGGTGTCCAAATTAAAGGTCAAACAGATGGTGGGTGCTGTGGTGGGTACGGGTGTCTTACAAGGGCTTGCTGTATATCCAACATATGACTGGATGAGCATATGGAGGAAGTTTGGCTTGCTTTGAATACCAGCGGGGGTACGGGAGTTAGTACATCGTTTTCTAATGGGAATTTTGGCCTCTAGGGATGTGTTGTGTAAAATGGGTCTTGTAAGAGAGGACTCATGCTTGCACTGTGGGGACACCAAAACGGCTTTTCATGCGGTATTTTTTTGTCCCTCTTTGGAGGGGGTGAGGTTATGGATGGTGAGCGTTATCAGACTTTGGGGGGGGGAATGGCCATTCCTAAGGGCTTTAATGTTGGATGTAACTGGGGTGCCGGGTGATGTGGGTAGGGCTTTAATGTATGTCATGACGGATTATTTACATGTATCTTGGGGGATGAGGGAGGTTCGGGGAGAGTTGAGAATAAAAGCGTTAGAAGCGAGATTTTATAGAACGATGTGTAGGAATAGGCAAGTCTATGGGGGCGGTGGGTAATTAGCTTTTCGGAGGGTTACTGGTATCTCACTGTGGGGGGCCTCCTCCTCATGAACCCAGGGGGCGGGCAAAGGGTTGGTCTCCTACCGGGGGATGCATGAGGGTAGGTTGGTTTAGGCTCCTTTGTTGTGTGGATGGTGGGAGGGCTATGAATGAGTGGGAAGGAGATGCATGATGAATTTGGAAACCTATGGTTATGTTCACTGCATACAGGATAATCTTTTAAACATGATAACTAAATCTTGGGATCTCGGGTTTAGAGCAGAATGATGTTAATTTTGAACCCAAGTTTAACTTGATCGTTGTTCAACTTATGTTTGTGAGGTGCTGTGACCCTGCATAGTTGCTTTGTGGTAGAAAATTTTCTGCTTTTCGGTATAAAAGTTAGTGGTTGGTTACCAACAGGAATCCGGTGTTAACTACAGTTTTGGGTTGCATTTAACCCAGGTACATTTCATTGCTGTCAACAAAATTTGAATTGTTACTTAGGTTAGCTGTGTTTATTCATGAATTCATGATCTCTGTAGTGTCAGGCTTCGTCACTTTTATGATCACATAAATGGCATCTTTCTCTATGTACCTAACCATGTATATGTGTAGTTTGTAATGACATATGAATATTATGATGAATTGTGAGGTATTGGTTAGGAGTGAGCAATTTTATTGTGCAATGTCCATAATGGGGATTGAGTAAGATTCCTCAACCGGTTTTGTTCTTTAGTGTTATTGCGGAAAAAATAAGGACGGAACACGTATGAACCTGTATGTCAATATTTTTAATTATATGACTATTGTATGTGCATGATGAATTTTTATTCCCATGATAATGTTCAGTATTATATCATTGTATTCTGTACTGGTAATGGTATTGATGTCCTACGTGGGACCCAAGGCCATGTATACTTGCTGACATATTAATGTATATTGTTTTTGATGGACGCACAGTATAAGCCTGTGTAACCCTGTAATTAGGATAGGTGGTGAGAGATAAAAGGAAAAAGGGGGGGGGGGAGCATGCGCCTGCACGAAGTTGTAAGTGCGGTGAGTCTCTCGCCAATGAGATTATAATTATATGAAAGATTAGGAGCTAATTAATTATTTTTTATTTTATCTTTTAGACTGTTTAAAAAAAAAAGTTTTGTAGAGGTTTTTTGTTAGTCATGCGGATGTTGTAGCACTTATATGTGTCTTCATATTTTGTGATTTGAGTCACTCGTGTATGATATACAAGTATATTGTATACTGAGGGGTTATAAATACAAAAATACAAAAATTCGGGAATGAATAGCTACAGAATGTTTGGTGTATTAAATGCTAATATTACAATATAAATTGCGAGGCCAAAGCATTAGTGCACATAGAAAGTTTGTATATACAGTCATATGAGTTAAGGGCACGTAAGTAGGGTAGGATAGTAGTAATTTTTGATGTATGGTATTTGTTAATTATAAGGAATTTTTGTTTTCTTTGTAAATGTTTCATGTTTTGTGAACACGTCAATTATGTGATATACATGTCTACTGTATCCTGTGGTTTTTAAATAAAATATAAAAAAAAACAAGCCACTTGTGACTGAGAGGACAGGAGTCTTGGGGGACATTGTCAACAGTCCTTGTTAGAGTCTCACAAAGCGGCAGATATTACACATATTCTCTTAGGTGTCTTGTTCCTCAGTATGTCTTGGTATTGTTTATAGTTAGTGTAATGAAATCTCGGTAATGGGTACCGTTAGATTATTATTATAATCAAAAAAGAAGCGCTAAGCCACAAGGACTATACAGCAGGGTACCGTTAGAGGGGTTTAGAAAGACGTAAGTGAACACTAGAACATGTTAGAAAACGTTTCGGCCCTGGGACCTTGATTATGACCCCAATCAAGATCCCAGGACCGAAGCGTTTTCTAATATATACTAGTATGTCCTCACGTTTCATCTAACAATTCAGTGGTGGCGGGATCCATACAATTACCAGGGGGCTCTTCATCCAAGGAATTGTGCTTATCATCCCTTGGATTGAACACTGAGATTGCCTACTAGTTACCAGACGCTATGACTCCTACGGATTTAGCGCTTCTCCCTGATTAATAAATGGGGATGCTAATGAAAGTTTTGTGTTATTTACAAATTTAAAAACTTACAACCTTATTTCTACAGAAAATATTTCATACCCTCTTGATTGTATCTATTCAAGGATGTGTCTTGATCTCAAGAACTTAAGTTACCCTCCCCTTCCCCTGATCAAACCACATCACCTCCCATTCTCCAAGCGTATCTGACCCTGACGGGTTTAAGGCTTCATCGTTAAAATAACGATGACTTGTATGCGACACTGGTGCGCAGGAAAGTGTAATTTAAAAGCGTGTTTTCGATACACACGATGCAAATCTTAACTAGCAAAAAATTAAACGGTGATGTGCTAGTGAGTCGTTAGTACTGATTATCTCTCTCTCTCTCTCTCTCTCTCTCTCTCTCTCTCTCTCTCTCTCTCTCTCTAGATTCACTCAGGAGAAAATATTAACTCCAATCAAGTGAAAAAAAAAAATATAATTTTTTTTTCGTAAATTTTGCAGGCTTTACAATCCTACAGTTAGTATATACCTTATCAGGAATAACAAGTGGGTGGGTAGGAATTGTTGGCTTAGGGAAGAACCTACCTAGTTTGGGCTAGTAGATCTACTTTAGTATTCCTCCATTCTTATGCAAGCATAGTATACTACTTATAGCAGGGGTTCTTAACCTTTTCACAATTACAGACCACCAGTGGATTGCCCAATATGTGCCCATACCCCCTTCACCAGAATGTCAAAATCATCACCACCATCACCAGTCCTATTAGATACCAGTATGACTTCAAAAGATGTCAGTACCTTGATTTTACTTTACATATGGAGAGTTAGGAACGGAACAGCTGATAGTATATTCTAATGTAAAAAATTTTTTGTTTAAATTGTTGAGAGATCGAGTCCCATACCCTTATTTGATTCCCATATCCAAAGGGGTATGAATACCCCTGTTAAGAGCCCCTGACTTATAGTATGGAGGGTAGTGGTGTAAGTGGCACTGTACTCATCCACACGACACTACTTGTACACAAAACAGTTACTGTAGTCATGCACAGGACATGCTCTGTATTCATACACAGGATAGCCTGGATTACTGTATTCATACACAGGATAGCCTGGATTACTGTATTCATACACAGGATAGCCTGGATTACTGTATTCATACACAGGATAGCCTGGATTACTGTATTCATATACAAGACTGTTACTGTACTACCTGGGGTCAGCGCCTCCGCAGCCCAGTCCTTGACCAGGTCTCCCAGTGGGTCAGGGCCTGATCAACCAGGTTGTTATTGCTGACCGGACGTAGTCCAGAGTACAAACCACAGCCCGGCTGGCCGGGTGCTAACTTTAGGTATCTATTCAGCTCCCTCTTGAAGGCAGCCAGGGGTCTATTGGTAATTTCCCTATGCCTGGTGGGAGGCTGTTGAACAGTCTTGGGCCCCGTACACGTATTGCTCTCTCTTAGTGTACTAATGGCGTGTAAAAGACGAAATCAAAAGTACACATGTTTTTCAAGTCGTGAATTATCTTTCTAAACGAAGTTCAAACAGTAATTATGCAAACAAAAATAATAAACGAAGCAGATGATGAGAGGAAGACGGTTGTTACTCATCACAGCTGCTGCTGCTGGCTACCTAGTCACTATATTTACTTAGCTTGTTTTTCCCAACTTTATCATTTTCCAGTTTCTCCTCTTCATATTCATATTCATCGTCTGTTTTTATCCTCTTGTCTGGCCAGCTCACTGTTTGAGGATCATCTTTACTCTTCTCTTCAACTGCCCTTTCTTCTTTCTCTCGCACATCTTCACGTTCCTGAAGTTTAATATAAGTTAGATAACTGCAAAACGAAGAATAAAGAGTGCGCGTGTGTATGTGCTCACGCGAGGTGTTCACGCACTCTTCCAACCTGACTCATTACCTTGCTAATATGTTCATATACAACTTTCTTCTATAACACCTCTTCCAAGACTCCTTCAGTAGCTTTGGCATTTCTCTTTCGAGTCTTCCAAAAAGAGTCACCGGCAAACAAGTGTGTTAACTACTACTTTACATCACGCCTATCAACTACACTCACTTTAAATTTCAGATCCACTTATAAAGACGTTAAACAAGTATGGGTGACATAGCATCATGGTGACATTCTACATTCGTATGTCCCACTTTAATGAAAAAGTAATCCCTTTCTCATACACACCCGAAATTAAGCCTTTCGCAGTATATACAAATTCATTACATCTATCATGAGCTTTCTAATGGTTCAGTACAATTGCAATCCCAGTCAAATTAATCATCTATTCACCTTACCGTCTGCCTTTCCAAATGTAGAAAAGTAACAATCCTATCTTCACCTCTCATAATCCATCTGCTCATGCAATCATACTTGTTGCCTCTCCCGGCACTTATTTCCTTGTAAGTCTTACATTGTCTCCTACTTCCTTTCCGCTTCTAGAAAGATTTATGCAAGCTCTCTGCCACATCTTTTGTACTTTTTCTTTCATATATACATAGACAAGAGCCTTAACGTATGCAAAGGATATTCATGATATTAAACCTAAATGTAGTTTTGAGATTACCTGTGGTTGTTTCTTTGGCTGTGAAAGTGACAAGACTGTTTTCGTAGTGTTGAGACGACTAACAACGGTTTCGTTTCTCATGAATGGTGTACTAGCTTCCTGCTGCTGCTGCTGCTTCTGCTCATCTTCATCGTCTTGTTCACCTTCATGTTCAGCATGCGTCTCACTGTTTGTCTGTTTTATATCGTCGTGTTGTTCACCTTCATGTTCAACATGCGTCTCACTGTCTGTCTTTTTTATATCGTCGTGTTGTTCACCTTCATGTTCAATGTGCGTTTCACTGTTTGTCTTTTTTATATCGTCGTGTTGTTCACCTTCATGTTCAACATGGGTGTCACGGTTCATCTTTCTCATATCGTCGTCATGCTTGGCTGCAAGCGCAACACGTGTCCCCCCACGGTAGGTTTTTTTTGCATCCTCTCTTAATTTGGATCCTTGAGTTTTTTTAAACACCTGTTTTATGGCAGATGAACCCTTATTTTCAACGAGTTTTGTATATCTCTCTTGGAATTTCTTTAGTATCTCCAGATTGTATTGCGACTCTGACTTTGCAGCTTGTAACTCCTCTTGTATCTTCCGGACTGTCTTTCTCAGTTTGGGTAGCTCTTCCTCTGCTGTCCTTAGTTTCTCCTCAGCTTCGAGCAAGTGCATCTTCTTGTCCTCCAAGTGTGCTTTTAGGTCTTTGTTCTCCTCGTTAATTTTCTCCACGATCTTAGTCTTGTCTTCAAGTTCCGACTTGAGTTTTACGTTATCATCATTAGCGTCCTGAAAAGATCAAAATTTAAATATATATGTCGTGCCGAATAGGTAAAACTTGCGATTTTGGCTTAAATAGCAACGCTCTTCTTGCTGAATAAGGCAAGCAAAAATTTGTGTATGCATTAATTTCCTAAAAATTATTCTGAACGTAACGAAAAAAATATATTTCATTGTGTTTGTTTATTATTAAAGTATCTAAAATATATTTAGTTGGATTAGGCTAAATTAAATTGCGCTTGTTATAATAAGGTTAGGTAAGTTTTCTAAGGTTCTTTTGGTACAAAATGATAATTTTTTACATTAACATAAATAAACAATATATATCCTTAAAAGTATAAGAGAAAATTTTAGAAAGGACTTAATTTTAAATGAGTTCTTGATAATTGGCCAGTTCTACCTATTCGGCACGACACACACACACACACACACACACACACACACACACACACACACACACACACACACACACCAGGCCTAGTGTCTAATCGACATGTGCCAAGGACAAAACGGTAACTAACTAACTAACAGGAGACAGAGACAGGATGTTTCAGAGGGGGGACACAAACAACAGGTCACAATTGGAAGTTGAAGACTCACATGAGTCAAAGGGATGTTAGGAAGTATTTCTTCAGTCATAGAGTTGTCAGGCAGTGGAATAGCCTAGAAAGTGACTTAGTGGAGGTGGGAACCATACATACTTTTAAGACGAGGTTTGATAAAGCTCATGGAGCAGGGAGAAAGGACCAAGTAGCAGTCAGTGAAGAGGCGGGGCCAGGAGCTATGAATCGACCCCTGCAACCATAAATAGGTGAGTACAATTAGGTGATTATAGTCCCTCACAAGAAGTTAATGCAAAAGCTAGAGGATCAGGCACACACAACAGGAAAGGCACTGCAATGGATCAGAATATCCGACAGGGAGGCAACAACGAGTCATGGTACGTGACCAGGTGTCAGAGTGGGCGCCTATGACAAACGGGGTTCTACAGGGGTCAGTCCTAGGTCCTGTGCTGTTTTTGGTATATGTGAATGACATAACGGAAGGGATAGACTCAGAAGTGTCCTTATTTGCAGATGTGAAGTTAATGAGGAGAATCAAATCGGTCGAGGATCAGGCAGGACTATAAAGAGACCTGGACAGGCTACAGGCCTGGTCCAGCAACTGGCTCCTTGAATTTAACTCTGCCAAATGCAAAGTCATGAAGATCGGGGAAGGGTAAAGAAGACCGCAGACAGAGTATAGTCTAGGTGGCCAAAGACTGCAAACCTCACTCAAAGAAAAAGATCTTGGGGCGAGTATAATACCGAGCACATCTCCTGAGGCAGCATACGAACGTCTGGCAAACCTAAGGATAGCGTTCCGATACCTCAGTAAGGAATCGTTCAAATCTCTGTACACCATATACGTCAGGCCCATACTGGAGTATGCAGCACCAGTTTGGAATCCATACGTGGTCAAGCACGTCAATAAATTAGAGAAAGTGCAAAGGTTTGCAACAAGACTAGTCCCAGAGCTAAGGGGATTGTCTTACGAAGAAAGGTTAAGGGAAATCGGCCTGACGACACTGGAGGACAGGAGGGTCAGGGGAGACATGATAACGACATTTAAAATACTGTGCCGAATAGACAAGGTGGACAAAGACAGGATGTTCCAGAGATGGGACACAGAAACGAGGGGTCACAGTTGGAAGCTGAAGACTCAGATGAGTCAAAGGGATGTTAGGAAGTATTTCTTCAGTCACAGAGTTGTCAGGCCGTGGAACAGCCTAGAATGTGACGTAGTGGAGGCGGGAACCATACATAGCTTTAAGACGAGAAATAACAAAAAGGCACAAATACCGTGACTGGAACAATACACAAATAACCCGCACATAGAAGAGAGGAGCTTACGACGACGTTTCGGTCAGACTTGGGCCATTTACAAAGTCACACTGGTCCAAGACGAGGTTTGATAAAGCTCATAGAGCAGGGAGAGAGATGACCTAGTAGCAATCAGTGAAGAGGCGGGGCCAGGAGCTGAGTATGAACCCCTGCAACCACAAATAGGTGAGTACATACATATCGTGCAATACACAAATAACCCGCACATAAAAAAGAGAAGCTTACGACGAGTTTCGGTCCGACTTGGATCATTGACAAAGTGTGACTTTGTCAATGGTCCAAGTCGGACCGAAACGTCGTCGTAAGCTTCTCTCTTTTATGTGCGGGTTATTTGTGTATCGTTCCAGTCACGGTATTGTTCCTTTTTTTTTTTATATACAGTATATCGTGCAATATAAGCTGAACAGAACAGATGAGTTTGGTCTATTTGGCAAGTCCGTTTTCTGTAAAATAACCAGAGTGAAAATTTGTTTCAGCCATAACTATCCCAAATTCAATCTGAGCATAACGAAACAAATACATGTATATGTAATTTATTCAAAGTAATATTAAAGATATGTAAAGTGACGTATGATATACAAGAACTCGTTTAAATTAAGTTCTTTCTAAAATTTTCTCATACGTATATATATATATATATATATATATATATATATATATATATATATATATATATATATATATATATATATATATATATATATATATATATAATATATATATATATATATTCCTAGTTAAACCCTAGCCAATTCATTGAAAATATTCAGGCTTAATTCGGGGAACTGGAACACAGATCCAATTCCCTAAATCAAGAGCCCCTCACCAACGTCAAGGAACCTTCCTTGAGGGGAAATTAAAAGTAAACTCGTACAACAATGTGACTTATCAGAGACACGTGAGGAAACATTAGAACGTGGAAAACATTTCGGTTTCAGGACCTTGATAACTTTTAACACACCGAGTGTGATGAAAGGTTTCAGGACCGAAACGTTTTCTAATATGACCTAGTGTTTACTTACGTGTTTTTTTTTTTTAGCCAATTTGTCGGTATCTATTAGCAAGGTTTGTGCTATAATGGTCGTCTTACCTGCAGAAAGCTGGCTGATTTTAGCAGCTCCTCCTGAGCACTCTGCAAAGAGAACAGCCAATACCTGATGTTATCTTAAATAATTAAAAGGACGGACGCACACGCGCAAGCAAATATTAAAGAAGAATTAGACACGTGTGCAACATCTGGGTATCTTTATGTATAGACGTTTCGCCCTGCACTGGCTTCATCAATACAAGGCCATAATGAGAAGTATGTAGAACTATGTACTAATTACTGTTGAGGACTTTTGTTGCTACTGTGGCCATTACCTGGAGTTTACCTGGAGAGAGCATGTGGTCATTGCATGAATAATTATACGCTAAATAATTATACTTCAAATTAATTATTACTCGTATTATGAGTAAATACGAGTAATTATAATGTTTAAATAATCACAAACAGAATTAGCCACAGTCACACAGTTCATCATAGAATCCGCCGGGTCACCATCTGGAAAAGACCCGGCGAACCTGCTACTGTCACATAGTCAAAATAATAATTACAAATATACACTAACTTAAGTGATAGAGAGAGAATAACATTGGTTGATCCATCGTCTCGATTCTGGCGAAGTGCTTTTGAGCCAAGGAATCTTGAGCTACCCCTCCCCTTCCTTGGGTCAAACCCGATTACCTCCCATATCACAGGCGCTGTATTACCCATATAGCTTTAGCGCTGCCCCGTGATTTACGAAGTACTGTCAAGCTTATAAAAGTCAGCAGATAAAGTTTGTTGTATTATGATATAATAGAAGGCCGGTATGTAATGGAGTCTGACCTTAAGTTTACTGTCGAGGTCCCTCAGTTTGTTCCTGGAGAGTTCCACTTCTCTCCTAGTGGCTTTGTAACGACTCGACTCGTTCTGAAGGTCAACGAGCCTGCAACATCAACTTTGTTATTGCCTGCTGGTGAGAAACAGGGATTAACATAGCATTACTTTGGCTATGGTAATAGTATACAATGCTGACAACTTGATAAGATGCGTGTGCAACAGTTAGGTATCTTTTTTCTGAAACGTTTCGCCTACACAGTAGGCTTCTTCAATCGAGTACAAAAGTGACAGAAGCAATAGTGATATAATGACATGTAATCAGTCCATCACCCTTAAAGACTACGTCTTCAAGGGTGATGGATTTTAAACTTTTAAATCTTGGACATTTATAATTAATAGGATTTTTGACTGATTCTGGTTATTGTATGATAGTATTTGTGTTGTATACTTTTATAAATTCAGTACTTATATATATATATATATATTATATATAAATTGTAAATTATTCAGTTATCTCGGAAATAAAAAATATATACAACACATAATAAACAAAGATTAAATTAAATATATATATATATAATTATATATATATATATATATATATATATATATATATATATATATATATATATATATATATATATTTTATTATATATTTTATATATATATTATATATATATATATGCCTTATATATAATCTATATGCCTTATATATATAAGGCACCTAAAATGGAGGAATATAGCAAATAATATTGTTTTAGTAATAACACCAGGAGGCAGCTCTGGTGAAAACTCACACTCACACGAGCTTTTAAATCTCTGCACAAAATTCAATTTAAACCAGCAAATAATAGAGCCTACTAGACTGGAGAATACACTAGACCTCATCTTCACTAACAATGATGATCTGATAAATGTCACTATATCAAAAACAATATACTCGGATCACAACATAATTGAGGTTCAGACATGTATGCACGGAGCCCCAGACCGACATAATGAGATTAGTCACGAGGGAGCATTCACCAAATTCAACTTCAATAACAAAAACATAAAGTGGGACCAAGTAAACCAAGTCCTAACCGATATAAGCTGGGAAGATATACTAAGCAACACAGACCCCAACTTATGCCTAAAACAGATTAACTCGGTGGCACTCGATGTATGCACAAGGCTTATTTCCTCTAAGAAAAAGGAGGAGTAGATGTAAAATAGAAAGAGACAGGCGCTCCCTTTACAGGCGACGGAAAAGAATAACAGAGCGGCTAAAAGAGGTCAATATATCTGAAATGCGTAGGGAGACACTGGTCAGAGAAATAGCAAGCATCGAACTTAAGCTAAAAGAATCCTTTAGGAGTCAGGAATCGCGGGAAGAACTAAAAGCCATAAATGAAATCGAAAGAAACCCAAAGTATTTCTTCTCCTATGCCAAATCAAATCGAGAACAACGTCCAGTTTTGGGCCCCTACTTAAACAAGATGGGTCCTACACAGATGACAGCAAGGAAATGAGTGAGCTACTCAAGTCCCAATATGACTCAGTTTTTAGCAAGCCGCTAACCAGACTGAGAGTCGAAGATCAAAATGAATTTTTTATGAGAGAGCCACAAAATTTGATTAACACAAGCCTATCCGATGTTATCCTGACGCCAAATGACTTCGAACAGGCGATAAATGACATGCCCATGCACTCTGCCCCAGGGCCAGACTCATGGAACTCTGTGTTCATCAAGAACTGCAAGAAGCCCCTATCACGAGCCTTTTCCATCCTATGGAGAGGGAGCATGGACACGGGGGTCGTCCCACAGTTACTAAAAACAACAGACATAGCCCCACTCCACAAGGGGGCAGCAAAGCAACAGCAAGGAACTACAGACCAATAGCACTAACATCCCATATCATAAAAATCTTTGAAAGGGTCCTAAGAAGCAAGATCACCACCCATCTAGAAACCCATCAGTTACACAACCCAGGGCAACATGGGTTTAGAACAGGTCGCTCCTGTCTGTCTCAACTATTGGATCACTACGACAAGGTCCTAAATGCACTAGAAGACAAAAAGAATGCAGATGTAATATATACAGACTTTGCAAAAGCCTTCGACAAGTGTGACCATGGCGTAATAGCGCACAAAATGCGTGCTAAAGGAATAACAGGAAAAGTCGGTCGATGGATCTATAATTTCCTCACTAACAGAACACAGAGAGTAGTAGTCAACAGAGTAAAGTCCGAGGCAGCTACGGTGAAAAGCTCTGTTCCACAAGGCACAGTACTCGCTCCCATCTTGTTCCTCATCCTCATATCCGACATAGACAAGGATGTCAGACACAGCACCGTGTCTTCCTTTGCAGATGACACTCGAATCTGCATGACAGTGTCTTCCATTGCAGACACTGCAAGGCTCCAGGCGGACATCAACCAAATCTTTCAGTGGGCTGCAGAAAACAATATGAAGTTCAACGATGAGAAATTTCAATTACTCAGATATGGTAAACACGAGGAAATTAAATTTTCATCAGAGTACAAAACAAATTCTGGCCACAAAATAGAGCGAAACACCAACGTCAAAGACCTGGGAGTGATCATGTCGGAGGATCTCACCTTCAAGGACCATAACATTGTATCAATCGCATCTGCTAGAAAAATGACAGGATGGGTAATGAGAACCTTCAAAACTAGGGAGGCCAAGCCCATGATGACACTCTTCAGGTCACTTGTTCTATCTAGGCTGGAATATTGCTGCACACTAACAGCACCTTTCAAGGCAGGTGAAATTGCCGACCTAGAAAATGTACAGAGAACTTTCACGGCGCGCATAACGGAGATAAAACACCTCAATTACTGGGAGCGCTTGAGGTTCCTAAACCTGTATTCCCTGGAACGCAGGAGGGAGAGATACATGATTATATACACCTGGAAAATCCTAGAGGGACTAGTACCTAACTTGCACACGAAAATCACTCACTACGAAAGCAAAAGACTTGGCAGACGATGCACCATCCCCCCAATGAAAAGCAGGGGTGTCACTAGCACGTTAAGAGACCATACAATAAGTGTCAGGGGCCCGAAACTGTTCAACTGCCTCCCAGCACACATAAGGGGGATTACCAACAGACCCCTGGCAGTCTTCAAGCTGGCACTGGACAAGCACCTAAAGTCAGTTCCTGATCAGCCGGGCTGTGGCTCGTACGTTGGTTTGCGTGTAGCCAGCAGCAACAGCCTGGTTGATCAGGCTCTGATCCACCAGGAGGCCTGGTCACAGACCGGGCCGCGGGGGCGTTGACCCCCGGAACACCTAGGTACCTATTTTACTGATATATTAATATATATATATTAATATATATATATATATATATATATATTAATATATATATATATATATATATATATATATATATATATATATATATATATATATATATATATATATATATATATATTAATTTAATCTTGTTTATTATGTGTTGTATACATCTTTTATTCCCGTAATGCTATGCATATAAGTGGCTCTGGCAGGCTGCTCTTACCTGTATTTTTTTGTACCTCTGTATGTATGCTCAAATTACTAAATAAATAAATAAATAAATAACTGAATAATTTACAAGGTCCAAATGCTTGTCAAATATCAGTATTACCTCCCCATCTTCCCTTTGCGATCAAACCTTATGACCTCCCATTCCCCAAATGCTTAGCGCTACCCCAGGAAAATAATAACAAAGGGCATGTACTTACAAAGCTTTCTTTGCTGTTCCGTGGGCCAGGATGCCGTTTTGCAGCTCCCGACTGAGAGTGGTGTTCTTGATGAGCAGTGTGACGATGGTCACCACCAGCACCAGCACCAACAGGTATGTGTAATTGGCCATTTTGCCTGAAACATAAGCACGCACACACACACACACACACACACACACACAATGTTAACAAAACTGCTGTTTTAATGGGGGAAGCGCCACTCTTTAAACACTAAATGTCTCTCTTTGCGTGCACACCACTGTGGATTCATATATTTATTAATGGGTAAGTACACACCTCTAAATACACTCATTAATGGATATGTAAACACCACTGTGGAGAGGTGCATAGCACCTATTGTATTATGGGCACTTGCTAAGATGACGATAATAAGGATCAGTACATCTCCCCCCCCCGCCTCTCTATTATCTTTATTTCTACAAGTACAAGGTATAAAGGCCTAGCTGACATCAGTGACATACTACTATATAGAGCCTCTTGTTCTGCAGAGCATTTCGGGAAAATTAGGTCAATTTTGTTCCAGGATGCGACCCACACCAGTCGACTGACACCTAGGTACCTATTTTACTGATAAGTGAAAAGGGACAGCAGGTGCTTTTAGGAAACACATTCTAATGTTTCTACCTGTACCGGGAATCGACCCCCCGAACCTCAATGTGTGAGCTGAGTCCGCTAGCAATTGAGCTACGTTACAGTGTTGGACTATGTTAGTTTTAGCGCTTGCCCATGAATGCACTAGGGTCAAAGAGACATTCGGGTGTGTGTTGGTAATCCTTTATTCAGGTACAACATAATGAATGCTCCTAGCTGCAAAGAGACAAAATACACAAATTAGGATGCACAACCTGACGCTCAGATTTTTAACCCACACAGTTAACCACTCGGGGGGGACCCCAATGACGGCAGTGCGTCATCGGGAACTGTCTTAATTCCACTGGGGTCTTTTAATCTTCTTCCTCAGGATGCGACCCACGGCAGTCTACTAATACCCAGATACCTACTTCCTGCTAAGTAAACAGGGGCAGGAGGTATCACAAAACATGACCGATGTCGCCCGTGTCGGGGAGCGATCTTCGGTCCATCACTGTGAGCTGAGGACTCGGGCAACCGAGCCACGAGCAAGTAAGTTTATTTAGGTACAGGTACTCATAACTGCACTTATCATACATAGTTTAACATATGTAAATTACCCGGTGGCCTGGTGGCTAAAGCTCCCGCTTCACACACGGAGGGCCCGGGTTCGATTCCCAGCGGGTGGAAACATTTCGACACGTTTCCTTACACCCGTTGTCCTGTTCACCTAGCAGTAAATAGGTACCTGGGTGTTAGTCGACTGGTGTGGGTCGCATCCTGGGGGACAAGATTGAGGACCCCAATGGAAATAAGTTAGACAGTCCTCGATGACGCACTGACTTTCTTGGGTTATCCTGGGTGGCTAACCCTCCGGGGTTAAAAATCCGAACGAAATCGTATCTTATCTTGATAACCCAAAAGTTAGACAAAATAACTTAGTCACAAGTTAAATATTTGTCAGTAATTTGTAAATAATGTATGCCTATACGAATGTTTTTATCATAACCACTGTGCAAATGTATAAGCTTCAAAATCATATATAGTGAAGATGAATGAAGCTTTTCAAAGGAACTTCCTGTACGTCTCCCGTATACCTTAGTTATCCATAAAAAGTGTATTAGAGAAAATGTACACACATTTTATGGGAAACAATAATATTAATTCATCAAACTGAATTAATCAATGTCACTCGGGCTACACATAGTGTGGATAAAAATGCGAATGTGCGAATCATTGTGATATAGTATCGTGATTCTTGATTTAAGTTGGCAGTCTGTTACTTTGATGTGCATTAAATTTGTTATGTTTCAGTGCTTTAATATCTGCGGTTATGGTTTTCGCATTTGTTTTTACTGAATAAGCCACAAAATCAACAAAACGAGGTCAAGAAGTTTATTTAGGTACAGGTACACATAAGTACAATTATCATACATAGTGTAAATTACCTAGAATAACCCCCCAAAAAAGTCAGTGACTTATTTCCAGAGTTTGAAAGTCTGTAAATATTGGCTAATGTGGACTTCCAATTCTTGCGAAGAGTTTCGTATTATTTTTCTTTTTTAAATTAAAAAATGCAGCCTATGCCCTGGCATAAATTATTTGTTGTGCATAGTTTTATTTTAGAAGATATAACAATATAATATTTTGGGACATGGTGCACGTTAGGACCAGTGAGCGGTTAGTATTGACGTTCCTGGCCAGTCACAACGAACGTAAACAAAAGCAAGTTGAATGTAAACAAAAGGCGGCGTGTCAGTCCCATATCTACCGCTGGCAGAGTAAGGTTAAGTTACCTTTCTTAAATTTGCACAACAAAAACAACAGCTTTTAGAAGATACCAAACAGCAAAACGGACACCCAGTGCACGTTTTAGCTAAAAAGTTGAAATGTTTTTGCGTTTCGAGGATTTTGGGTTTGTCGAGTCAGGGCCGTCACCCTCCCCCCCTCTCCGCGGGGGGGGGGAGGGCGTTGTAGTAAACATGACCCTCTCATAACGCCTCACCCCGCCCGACCCCCGCCCACCCACCCAACCCCAGCGCCACCCCCTCTGTAGAGGGTACTTCCCCCCTAACCCACGATGTCAGCGAGGGACGCAGCCACAGGGAGTCCGGGGTCACGGAAAATTTCCCCAAAAGGGACAGCATCGTGGGTTCGACCGCGAGGAACTGCCAGGTGTCCACAGGCAGTGGTGCTCATTCCCCAACTTTAACTCCTGCGCACGAGGGCCTGGGGTCTTCAATCAACTTTGGGTCCACCAGGACGCGACAGTCCCAGGGCAGCTCCTCCATCGGCCTAAAGGAGTCACGGCTTTTGACCTTGGGGAGGGGCGAGGTGCCGTGCAAGCAGCAGACCCGGGGGAACTTGCTGTGTTTGCAATGGCTGTCTGCCCAGGAGAGAAGGACCCAGCAAAATTTTTGTTGGGGCAATGGAAAATTCCCTTTCTTGTTTTTTAACTGCTCATTACTCTGAATTTGTCTATGATTTTTAATCATGTGATAAGGTTTTTCATTATACCTTTTAAAAATTGTCATGATTTTGACCAGCTCTCCTGGGCTCATTACCCTTTGTAAATTCTCATGATTAATGTGTTTATGATTCATTACCTTTGCAATTATTCATGAGTGTGACCAGCTCTACCTGGAGCTCATTACCTTTGTAACTTGGTCATGATTATGCCCAGATCTAGTTCATTACCTTTGTAACTTGCTCAGCTATCAAAACTTTGGAGTCCAGTCCTTGGACCAATTATGTACCTCTGTAATCTTTTGACTACCGCCCACAGGATGGGTATGGGGTGCATAATAAACATATTAAACTAAAAAAAACTAACTAGCAACATAAAAAGAATGTCCATGACAAAACCAAACTAATCTTGAATATTTTTAGGAATATATTAATGTCAAACTTGCATGAGGACCGGATCTCCCTAATTACCTTAATAATAATAATCTTATCCAGACTGGAGGATGCTCACAAAGTCTTTTTAAGATTTAATTTATTTTACATAAATGATAACCGATATGAAAATACAGTTTTCTGTATACGATATCAGAACTCAGTATTATACATCATCACAATTGTCTAATGTCAGCAACCTCAACATGCACACCTCTAGTGTCCCCTAACACAGCTAATGTTAGCAACCTCAAGATATACACTGACCACATTGACCACTGTCTGGAAAATCTTCCAGCTCCTGCACCCAACATCTTGCTCCTGGGGGATTTCAACTTAAGGCACCTAAAATGGAGGAATATAGCAAATAATATTGTTGCAGTAATAACACCAGGAGGCAGCTCTGATGAAAACTCACACTCACACGAGCTTTTAAATCTCTGCACAAAATTCAATTTAAACCAGCAAATAATAGAGCCTACTAGACTGGAGAATACACTAGACCTCATCTTCACTAACAATGATGATCTGATAAGAAATGTCACCATATCAAAAACAATATACTCAGATCATAACATAATTGAGGTTCAGTCATGTATGCGTGGAGCCCCAGACCGACATAATGAGATTAGTCACGAGGGAGCATTCACCAAATTCAACTTCAACAACAAAAACATAAAGTGGGACCAAGAAAACCAAGCCCTAACCGAATAAGGGGGAAGTTTTCTAAGAAAACCCCCCCCCAATTTTTCCCTAAAACAGATTAACTTGGGGGATCGTTGTTGCAAAAGGGCTTTTCTCTAAGAAAAAAGAGGATTTAAAATGAAAAATAAAAGAGCAGGCGCCCCCTTTTTAAAGGCGCGGAAAAGAATAACAGAGCGGCAAAAGGTCAAAATCGAAATGCGTGGGGACCTGGTCAGGAAAAAAAGATGAATTTAAAGTAAAGGAATCTTATGGGAGTCGGGAATCGCGGAAGAACTAAAAGCCAAAAAAATCGAAAGAAACCCAAAAAGCATTTTTTCTCCTATGCCAAATCAAAGTCGGACAACGTCCAGTTTTGGGCCCCTACTTAAAAAAGAGGGCCCTACACAGAGCAGCAAGGAAATGGGAGCTTTTTCAAGTCCCAATGACCGGTTTTTACAACCCCCTTAACAGATGGAGTCAAAGATAAAAAATTAATTTTTTAGGGAAGACCCACAAATTGGTTAAACAAGCCTACCCGTGTTATCCGACCCAAATGAATTCGAACGGCGTAAATGACATCCCCAGCACTCTGCCCAGGGCCAGACTCCGTGTTCTCGAACTGCAAGAAGCCCCTTCACGACCTTTACCATCCTAATGGGAGGGAGCGTGGACCGGGGGTCGTCCCCAGTTCAAAAAAACAAAGAATACCCCCACCCCACAAAGGGGGCGTAAACAACAGCAAAGAACTACAGCCCGTTGCCCTAACTCCATAATAAAATCTTTGAAAGGGGGCCCCAAGGCAAAAATACCCCCATCTAGAAACCCCCTCGTTACCAACCCAGGGACATGGGTTTAGAACAGGTCGTTCGTCTGTCTCAAATATTGGTCACTACGACAAAATCCTAGATGCCCAGAAGACAAAAAGAATGCAGATGTAATATTAAGACTTTGCAAAAGCCCTTT